TTTTTGGCATTCGTATGAGTTTGCTGATGCGAAAAATTAACAGTATACCGCATCGATCTCCAGTGAGTTTTATCGGCAATCGTACAGCGCAAAGACGACTGTCTACTTGGATCCAGTGTAGTAAACCGCTTTCAGCCTTATGTCTATGTGAAGCTTCCGCACCGTATGCACCGCGATCCATTGCGTCGGGTTCACCGGATACCCGAAGGGTGGGATTGGGGACCTCTGATCTTGCCCCAAGTAGCGCGACCAAAGTGGAATTTTGTATGCGTGTTTCGGAGGCTCAGTATACAGTGATGGAGAAGGAAAGGTCCCAACGATCAATTCGGTTTTTCGGGATATCTAAATAAGATTTCGATTTATCAGTTGTGGCCGATTGAGCCACAGCGTTATTTTCTTCTATTGGTTCATCCTCTACATAGCTGATCTTCATCCGGTCTCCTTGTCTTCATCCTTGAGTTTTTTCATTCAAACACTTAGACTATCAATATCCTAAGTCACCCATTCAGTTACAAAAGGAGTCTCACAAGTGGTAAGTTTGTCCCTGTTTGTTTATCTGTTTACCCGCCTACCGACTGCCGCTCTGACACCTTCAAAGACAGGTTTTATGACACCCTGAATGCCCTGCTGTGGCTTGCTAAAAGCTCAGACATCTTTATGATTGCCGGAGACCTGAATTCACAGGTGGGCATGCTTCGCGAATCCGAGACAATTAGGTGGTCGACGTGGATTGGCCTCGGTACGTGCAAACAATGGTGAGCGATTGCTTCATCTGCGTGCTGACCACAGGTTTTTATGTGGTGCTAACATCCGGAATACTAAAAGTCGTGTGGCGACATAGTGTCCTCCAAGGGATTGCCGGCTACGAACTCAAACTGAACACACTGCTATCAGTTACCGATGGTGTGGTCAATAACTGACTGTCAATCGTTTTAGAACGCATTTGTGAATTCCGACCACGTGCTCTTCCGGATTCGTTTCTTTCTCTGTTTTCAGGGCCGCCCAAGGTGCGGCCAGATCGTTTGGCAGCACAGACTGGCAAGTCTGGAAGTTGGACAGATTTACCTGAATCGTTTTCTGGAGTCGCTTCCAGCTGCTCCACCATCACAAGTGAATTCATACTACATGTTTGCACAGTGCTGGGAGTTTTGCTTGTGGCACGGCGCCTCCAGACCCACTCAGGTACTGGATATCAGTGGCACTGCTGAAGTCTCGTAGATATACCACTGCTGGTCCCGAACTTAATATGGTCCGACGAGTTATCAAGCGTCAAGTGAAAATGAGCGTGGGTGCCGACCACGAAGTCTGGTGGACTCGAAAAACAAGAAATTGAAGAGACTCAGATATCCGTGTTATGTTTCGGTCACGCAGACGAACAGACAATAATATGCACGGACTGTAATGATATTGTATCCCCAGCTATATTGTCTGATCCCGACTCCTAGTACAGCTGTGTCATGGTTGTACGAGGGATGGGATACTGCCAGGGCGCCCACACCTAGACTGGAGGACGATAAGGGTCTTCAGTTAGAACCTTTGGCTCAAAAGCCTGACCGCAAGGCAGCGGTGTTGGGCTAGAAATGCAAGTAAGAATAAAAAATAAAAAAGTAAAAATAAATAAATAAATGCAAATACATTACCATTTTTACGGAACACGTCGCCATACATGTTCCAACCCCCAACCTGGAGGGCCAGGAGACTGTTCGTCAGACCTCTAACCATAGACCAACCTGGTATGAGAGACTTTGTGAGTGTCGCGCGGACACCCCTCAGAATAGCTCAATGGGTTTCTGAGGTACACAAACCACCACACCAAGGTCCAGTCTCTTCGTGACAGCGGGATAGTAAGGAGACGAAACTTTGGACACAACCGTAATGCTCCGAAAAACAGACGATTAACAGGCGATAACGGAAGAATGACACTGCATATATATATATATATATATATATCCATAGCTTGACCTTGAAGCAATGTCGAAGTTCGTTAGCGCACATAAAGGATATTGACATCCCCAACAATCCTCCATCAATGGGCAGGATGTCTTGAGCAAAAATTATCGTGACCACCATCTGCCACTTGTCTGAAGCCTACAACTGACCTAGAATCCGGGGCAGTGAAGGTGCAGCACCCTACGATCTTGGAGGTTTATAACTGCATGTGTTCTCTCAAGCGTCACCGAGCTTCTGTTCCAGATTAACCTTCACTCGCATTCTTCCAATATGGCGGTGAAGTCCTCAGCCAGCACTTGTCCGATCCGTTTGCCTGCATTTGAGAAAGAACACTGTTGTAGACAACTGAAGAGAATAGGCGATAAGACCCATTGTCAAAAAGAGGCTCGTAGTGAATGTGTTGACCACTAGATGATCTTCTTGACTCGTCTTAACGAGAGTTTTCGCGTCATTTGTGCTTCATCGCCCTATGGTGACTCATGAAACATTTACTCCAGAGCAGCAAACGGTATTCCGACTTGGAAGAGGTTTAATCAAATCTCCACACAGTTGGATGCTAGAACAACGTGCAAACGTGCAACCGACCCACAATTTCGGTATTCTTGGGTTTTCAAGACGCATTCGATTTTGACCTGTCTGTTCTCCTTACAGCGCTTACCACGCAAGGAACGCCCCGGAAGTTTGTGAATATGATTTCTTTGTACCATCAGACTTTCGGGCCTGTTAAAGATCTCCCCAAAAGCTTCCGTACACCAGGCGGTGTTCGTCAGGGGTGCCTCCTTTCTTCGTTTTCATCTAATTTCGTGCTCGATGTAATAGTGAGACGAGCACTGGAAGGTCTTTGAAACCCTACTGTTTAAATAGCTGCTGACGAAAACCCTTTCGATCTGGAGTATGTTGATGACATCGTTCTCAGCTTTGGTGTAAAGAATCGCATGTGGTTTTGGACACACCGCTTAGAGTCCAGTTAGAAGCACTCGAAGGTATGGAGCGTTTTATGTCTTCGAAGTTTTATATTTTTCGTTTGTAGTGTGACAGACGAGGTCAATGCATCGGTCTGCAATGCTCGGGACGTATTTGCTAATTTGGGACACCTGTGGCGAGAAAGCGATGTATTCCTAAACCTCAAGGGATGTTTTTATCAGGCTAAAATGGAGCTGCTCTGTTGTAGAGACCATGCTATGAGGCTTGGGGTGTTCGAGCAATGGAACTGAGACATTGTAAGCTATTCGACACCCGTTTTCTCAGAACCGTAGCTTGTGTGGGTTGGTACCGGCGCATCCGTAACGAAACAATTAGAAAGCGAGCTTTCGGTTAGGCAACAGGGACCTTCATTCAAGAATATGTCCAGCACTTGAAGATGAGTTGATTAGGCCAGGTATTGCGTATGTCGAACCATCATTTGCTGAAGAGAGTGCTGTTCTCCATGCCCAATTCAGAGTGGCGGAAGCAGAGAGGTGTGAAAGGGACAAAGAAAAGCCTGGGTCCTGTTGGTGTCTTCCAGGATGGAGGCTGCGTGATCCCCACTGCACCTGGTTGGGGATGCTGTAAGATATAGCTGCTAATCGATGTCAGTGGCGATCTTGCTGTCAGTTTCTATCCCGATTGAATGAGTGTTTGGAGGTGTAGGCACTTCGGAATTATCGTGGTATACTTGCACTAGGTCTCTTCCTTATCTGCTTTTATTCTTCCCTCCAAAATAAGGCAGCAGGGCATCAGTATTGAACGCTGTTGTCATGCCGTCGATGGTGATGATGATGGTGCTGTGTTCGACGGGGGATGGATTGCAGCGACAATCAGAATAAGAATGGAAAAGACAGAGGGCACGGGAGCTAGGCTTTATTCATCCGAAGCTTTGACATGGAGCTGAAACGAAAAAAAGGTGATTAAGCAATGAACGATCAAACGAAAAACGGATCAAATATACGACATTCATACCCCATAGAGATAAGTGCTCACAGGCATTCGCTTTAAAATTAGATAATGTCAGGCCTATCTGTTGCGCAAGACACAGTCGTGTCCGCTGTTTTGTACAACCAATGGGTGTTCAGAATAATTCGACAGTTCAGTTTCTGAAGCAGAGTTATATAGTTCCTGATTCATAAATGAATCAGTATTGGGCTGTGGTTGCCGCCGTTCAGATGCCGGTGCACATCCAAAATCTGCGGAAGACGCAAAGTGAGTAGAGAGGCCGTTTCTTCCATGGGTTAGGGTATGTGACATGTGCGTACTCAGTATTACACTCCATGAGCCTAACCTCTTCGAATACGGGATCGTAGAAACTAGGAAGCTTTTGCACAAACTGACCAAGGTTCTGAGCTCTGTCCTACTTACAAGTGTTCAAAAGATGCCGGACGTAAATTTCATTTCTCGGTTGTACATAAATTTCTCGCAGGGTTGCGATAGCTGATTCATAGTCCTTGCAGTCTTTGATGAATCGGAAAACACTAAGAGCAATGTAAGTGAACAATTTTTTCAGTTCACCTGGTGAATGAGAAGCAGTTGACTCTAGGAAGTTTGTGGAAGTAAAAAACCAATGTTCCCAGGTATATGCCGAGTCTTGAGTATTGAGATCGGTATCGAATCGTTCAGAACGTAAGTATCAACCCATTGTTCGGTGAAAATTTTTGCGTGAATAAATTGTGTTCGACAAGGGATGGAGTGCTGGAACGAAAAAAGGTGATTTAGCAATGAACGGCGAAACGTTGGAAAAACATATCAAATGTGGGACAGATGGTTGACGCGCAGCTTCATTCTCACATATTAACAGGTCTAGGCCTATTTCTTCGGTGAACTGCTTTTAACATCATTTTGTAATCTGTTGACAGGGTGTAGGACAACTCCATAACGTCGGTGGGCACTGAAATCCTGATCCTTTTGTTCTCGAACTACGTCCCCTAGATGATCCAGACCCACTCCGTTTCTATTCGACATCAACGGAATCAGCTTATTTGGCGTTGGGGAGCAACGCTTAAATTATATGCTTTTTTGCCCCGAATGTTGAGCACAAACCCAACTTAATCTTCATTTATTTTTAGCCCCTCATGACTCTTAATCCCATGTTCACTCTGAAGTAAACATATCTGTAACAAATGAGCTCTTCTGGTGAGAAAATCCAACTGACAACTGCTATGGCAGAAGTGGAACCTAATGCTATTGGCAGACCTGACCCAACCTCCGAGAATATTCAGACTAGTGATCATATCAATGGCTCTCTGACCCAATCGGAGGCTGAAAGACTGCAACGCGAAGCAAACGAAGACACCACTCGGAGTGAAGACTTACGCTTGTTCCTCAAGGTAACTGGACTAAACTAACCACAGGATGTTGACATACATATGTCCCTTTCACTTGTTTGTTCGATTTCCTAGCAATAACTACTAGTTACAGTGTATTTTGTGGCTAAAGTGATGTTTATTCGGTCCCACTCACTTTTGTTTTCCTTTGACCTCATTCGTCTTTTCTAACCTGTATGAATCCATTTTGATCACGTACTACGGCTTCCCATACTTTGGAATGTTTTGTAGCGGGTTCATTGACATAAGATAGTGTCTTTCTCTCTACTTCATTTTTATTGGTGCAAACTGTCTGGTGAACATGTGAGTTGGTAGAAGGGTATGAAAGAGTTTGTATTTTGTCTGTGGGGGATGTGATGGGGTCTCCGTGACTCTTTTTTGCTTGACTGAAAACGCTAAAACGATTGGCAGCAAATCGCTGTCATTGGTATTTGTGCCCTCTGTTTTTCTCTAGATTGTCTGAGCACTTGGAGGCGTGGGCACCCAGAATGCTTGTGGTACGTTAGCACTAGATCCCTTGAGGAAGGGATCTGGCAAAAAAACTGGACGAGGTTCTAGTTCTCTTTTTATACTTTGCGGCTTTAAGTGTGATCTTAATCCTCGAATAAACCTTGTGATTGTTCGGTCGTGAAGCACCAGCGTCAGCATTGCTGTTACTGTCTCTAATGTTGGTAATAATGGCGAAGTGATGTGTGCAATCATGTCAATCGCTGACTACAGCATGCATGTATGTATGCTTGGATAGAATACAAAGGCGTACGTCAACCCGAACAGCAGGACACCTGCTCTAATAGGTGCTTGGTTCACTTAATAACGCGCAAGAGGCCTCGTTAACGAAACATGGTGTGTCTGGCCGCACTGGTCTGCAAGACTCATTCCAGAGTGTCAGTCTTTTGATGCTGCGACAGCATCCAATCGAACCTATGTCCCTAGGAAATGATGCTCATCATTTACATTAATGGCACTAAGTGCACGATAGTCTGACCCATCCCACAACGTCGCTTCCGATCCAATTCTGTTACTCCTCCACTCCACCCGGCTCGGTTTGAAGTCACATGTTTGTACTATCTATCGCAAGCCCCCTCCCACCGAAGCCCTATATATGTGCATTGAGTAGTATGACGGCTTAGTCGCCATTGCTGCGCGTCACTGGTGGACTTACCTCAGTTATTTTTGCTGGAGCTACAGAAATACTGATTTATCAGGTGAGTATATTACAAAGACGCCATACATCCATCATCGGGATGTTTTGTTTTGGAACGGGTGATTACTTGATATGGCAGTTCTCGATGTTATTGAATCTACTAATGTAGATACATTTTTACCCTCTCAATCACTAACCTGGAAAGAACTGTTTTGTTTCCTTCATGTAGTGTTTTACACTCTGTTGCTTTTGCAAGCAAAGCGATTGGTAAGGGAGTCGGATGAATACTTCCATAGATTACAGACGGTATTGCGGTGATAACTACATCTTGTCGATTCCATAAACATGCGTTCTCGTATGATTACGATGATGATACGTCTATCATTCGGTTACAGGAAGTTCTAATCCGAGGGCATCATCAGTAGAGAGTGGTTACCGTTTTCGTATGGTGATATTGTGAACTTTGGCCTTTGTTTTGTCCGTCTACCATGGTGGAGTTTATTCCGTTTTGCCCATGCCTTATCGAGCTTTTGTTGATCTTCGAATCTCTCAGGAAATGCACGAAAAACTCAAAGAAGAGCAGCAGCAGCAACAACAACAACAACCGTCGACGCAGCCAGCCACGGTGATTCCACCCGTATTTGCCCAGCCAACCAATGTTTCCGAATCTGAATACTCCCTTACCGGCCACCCGCCTTCAGTCGGTGTCCCCGCACGTGACTTCGAGGGAGATTTGCAACCAGCAGTTCGCCGTTCTTCAGGTCCAATAGCAACCAAATTGGGAAACCCTCCGAATAGGACCGGCTCGGTGACAGGTAAGATATCGCTTTAGTAGCTGATGATTAAGACCGTGCAACGTTTTTGCTGACTGCTTTCATCGGCGGTTCTTTGCTCAGTTTTACCACTAGTGCGTTCGGCTCGAGTTGCACCCCTTCTGTTTTTCCGTTTCCGCGTCCACCCCCGGGCTTTATGAGGTTGATTCACGGGGTCTTGTGTCAGTAGATTATGTTTTGTGCTTCTCGTGAAGACAGAAGTCTCCAATTTCTTTCTGAAGTACGTTTCATTGTACGAGGGGGAGAAATCACAAGATAGATTGGACCAGGCTATGTCGCATATCTCACGAGCAGTTTGCATACGTTGCATGCCAATTTTAGGGCAGGGTAACGGATAGATCCTGCCGGATAGGTGTACTAGTCCAGTAGACATGATTCAATGTCGGCCTTCCCAAGGTAAGGCGGGGCTAGCCACATCGTCCGGCCGTAGGACCCTTTCGGTCCCTAGCTGCCACGCCACTCGAAGGAAGCACGAGGGCAAAGATACTACCAGTGAAGCATCAGTGCCAACACTGATGTTGCTGTCTTTGATAATGATGATGATGATGACTACCAGGTAGCCCTAGCGTAGACAAGAGCAGTCTAGATGCAGACGATGGGTTCGAATCACGGACTTTACTGTCAGTGAGTTCGCACCTTAACCACTGAGCCACCTCGAGCCACAAATTCCGCTTGTTTACACAACTCAATTTGGTAGCGTCCGCCGCTTCAAAGCTTAGCAGATGGCCATTGTTCTGGAAGTTTGTGACTCTGAATGACTCTTAGTTCTCTTCACTCATTGCAGTTTAACAAGTCGCAAACGAGTGCGATGGACAGGGTTTCTACTAAATATTAACTCACCTGGGATGTGCTTAGAAATCCTTGTAGCTAACCCCTCTCAGTTCCCCCGACTTACTTGTTACTGCAAATGCACACAAGGAGGCAACCAAAGAGTCTGCTCTATTTTTTCTAGACCATTGACTATGAGTATTAAGAGAATAAGTAATAGTGAACGAATAAACTGTTGTGTTACATCATTCCGTTTGTTCATGGGCGTTAGTCGAGGTCAGTCCATAGTGTGCACGATTTAGGTAAGCTGTATCTTGTCCTGAAGTTCCCTCATGTCAGGTATTCTCATTAAAGGAAATCTACCTGTAGATATTTGAGGACCGAGTTAGTTGTCCCCTTAAGTTCTTGTTCCGGTCTGTACCAATTTAATTACGGTCAGAAATTTTGTGAAATATAGTACTCAAGTGCCGTCTGAGAGGATTTGAAAACTACATCAATGACCTGAACCATAACCACACCAACGATTTTTTTCAGGCTTAGCGACTGATGCCGATTTAACCTAGGTTGTCGCAGTTCGACTTCGGCAAAGGAACTCATCTTGAATTCGAAGGTAACTTCCAAAAGTAAAGCTAACGGGGTTTGATTTGTGTAGAAAAAGGCAGAATTAGTGTACTTATTTTCAATGCAATAAGACTACCCCTGGGATCGGTGCTGCCACTAATCGTGCTCAAAACATCGTTGCGTTTCAGCGGTCATGTATTTCCACAGGACCTAAACACTTGTTAGAAAAACAGCTTACCATAGGAAATTCACCCTACTGTTTTGATTTTGCTCGTACTGGGGATTGTCCGGAGTACATGCGTTGGCTCAGTTCTTCTGGCTCGGAACGTCACAGTGAAGCAATATTTGTTTCCCACTACCATGATCAAGTCCCTACGCAACTCGAACACACGTGGTTGCAATTCAAATCGCGAACTAACTATGTAATGCGTTCGCAAGTTGACGAATACTGTAGTGCTTCTCGGCTTTTCAGCACAGATTGGCTTCACTTACAGGACGAAATCCCCACAAAAATCCCAAATCTCCTCACACTACCAACGAATACTGTAGTGTCTTTTAAGACCGAAACTTCTGGTAGTTGATGCTTTGGGACATCTCGGTTGGCCAGTCGAGTTAGCATTGTATCACAGCAAACAGGTAGAGTTTACAGCTCAGACTGTCTAAGCTGACCTCTTGGTAATTGGTCAACATAAATAGACCTCAAACTGGTAGTTCTAATATCGTTGCACATGGTTGTCTGTGTTACTCAACACAACTGGCGTGTCAGACGAGATTCACTTAACTAGTTTGAGCCTTCAATTTCTCCGTCTTGTCATGCCATTGTCACACGTGCTGCAAGCAAAGCTGTGCATTGGTAGAAGTAAACGGTCAGGCTATTGTTGTTGTGGTCAGGACTGCGGAATATACAGGAGCGTGATGAGCTTCCCAAGACAACATATTCTCAAATGTGATGGTTCGGCTTGTCAGCATTTCAGTCCGTGAATATAGTTCCGCCGGTGAGACAGTTAACCTTCACCAGCACAGTGAACGTTCACTGATGACGTCCGAACGCTTGGTTGATTGACAGGCCATTGACACGGGTGAGCCAATCGACCGTTCTCGCGGTTATTGTGCCGCGAGAGCTGTGAGTAGAGAGTGCAGCATATCCGTTGTTCATCTTTGTCATTTTAGTCTGTTGCAGTCTACCACAAGACAGTTGGATATAGATATCCGGCTCATCATGAGAGTTTTAGGTCTCGACTGGACGGCGAAGGTTTTTCGCATTAAATTCCAAGCGTTTCAGCATTCGTTGCACTGGTAAGACTGAATGATTGTACAGTGTTCTTATCAAATGGGTTTAATTCAAACTTTGTTCAAAGTCTATTTGTGGGATGTGAAGAGAATTCCCTATTGGAACCAACGCTCATACTTTCTAGGCACCTGTTGTGCAGAGGTGCCAGGATTACTTTGTCAGTGCGGTAAATCTATGGCAATTTTGAGCGCGCTTGAAAATGCAATGCGTTAAACACTATTAATAATCGTATAGTTCAAATTGGAGGCCTTGCTCGGATCTTATGGATCTGGTGTTAGTTTCCACCTGTATTTCATATTCTGGCGACTTATGATCAATCAATTTGTAGTCACGCCTATTGTAACTTGTTCGTTCATCTGTCACCTTTAATTATCGATTTGCTCATTCCTTAGACTTAACGAATCCTGATACCGCACCGGATGGGGGATGGGGTTGGGTGGTTGTCCTTGGCTCGTTCTGCTGTATGATACTTGTGGACGGAGTATCCCTATCCTATGGTCTTCTACTCACTCCGCAGTGTGGTTACTCCTCTCTGCATGTGCTTAGTCCCTCCAGCAGTTTGGGCAACCGGTCTCTGGCACATCTGAGGACGGGAGTGGTCACCAGGGACCGGCCACTTCGGCCAACATTTGGCAGTTGCGCTCCTATTTCCGAACTGGGCGAGGCGGTTGGCACACAAAGTCGTGCTATACTTTTCACCCCCGGAGCTCTCCTTCTAGGTCTCTACTTGATCCTGGGTAAGTTGTTTCGTTTTTCTTCATGGTGCGAACTGACTAACCGCGTATTTCATTTACTTCGGTCGTTGAAGTGCAGCGCGAAATTACTTACCGGAAGGTTCATGGTTTCAAGCCCAACCTCAGCATCTTGGCTCTTCCTGTCTGGGCTTGGACAACCTGACGGTAGCTTAGACCTCAAGTTTCCTTAGGGTATCATGGCAGCTAGACACCGAAAGGGTGTCAAGCTGACCCATTGTTCACTGTATTCCTTATGCCGTGGAATGACAAAGTTAAAACTGAGTCATTCAACCTTGTCCTTTTTGTGAATATTCACACTGAAGTGTATTGAAATGGCGAGGGCTGAGCTACTGCCTCGTCACTCTAGCCTAAGCAGGAGCCAGAATCATTGACGTTTCGGGTCATAACATAATTCCCTATTGTCCTAAAATATGGCCTACTCGACACCCTAGGTCATATACTTCGGTCTTTTAGTGTCATCCCTTGTATTGCAATATAACTGTACTCCTTCCTCTCCCTACCCATAAGAAATTTCGGCAAGCTTTTCATAATCCATAACCATCTCTGAATAGACTTGATTTAGTACATAATTCTAGGCACATGCGGCTCATCACTCCTTCCGCTCGACCTTATTTTTCTGCTTACAAATACGAGCAGAAATGCCGGTTGGAAGCTTGAAAAAATTAGCGGCAAGCGTACTTTGAACGTAGGTTTTCCAATAGCTACAGTTTGTCTTCGCGCAATTATTCCACTCTTCCTTTTAAATTCGTTATCGATTTACGAGTCTCGGGTGTCTAGCGCGAAAATTTGCCTTATCGTATCGCAGGTTCTTAAATTTATTAGTGGACGCTGTAACACCCTTCCGGTGTCTAGCCGCTATGCTACGTGACGAAAACTACTGCCAAGTTGCCCCAGCGTAGGCAGAAGCAGTCGAGATGTCGGGATTGGATTTGAGCCACTGAGCTATCTGGAGCTTAAAAACAACAAATACTGCCTTTCTCTTGCTCAGAAGCATGGTGCTCCTGTTTCATCTTTGTTTGAAATCTACCATTGTGAATCAGAAATGGCTATTAGGAAACCAATTCAGACAAACAGTTGAATCCAGGGATAAACTTAGTTCCTCTAGGTGGCCTCCGTTTCAGAAGATAGCTTCTGATGGGACGTTCGATCGGTTAACCGGCGGCAGTCGTAGAGTTGAGATTCGACTAGGTTTTAGAACTTTATGCCAGTCAGTTAGATCTGAGTCGAGGTCAAGAACAGATTGACTTAGCTACTCATAAACCAGGAATTCAGTTGGATCATCCGTTTAAATCAATATCGATATGCGAATGAGCGTATTCCGCTACTGTCTGAAAACGAGTATGGATCCAAGCATGCTTTCAAGCATCGAATATCCGACCTTTGGGCTGTCAGTGGCTGCTTAATCGAGTGTGGCACAGTCTTATCTAGAACCCCGAACCTCAGGGAATTAACGCAGTTGTTTAGTGTGATTGCTGTGCATGGTTAACTGCGATGCCTTTGCAAGACGGGAAACATGGACCGCGCCCACTCGATGAGCCCCAAGAAGGGTGAACCGGTCGTGGGCTGTCGAAAAGCTTTCAGCAACCTTGTGGGTAGTTTCCTTTATGGAGCTGCTACATCTTATCGCCTATTGGATGAATTCACCATTACGGGTAGCCCATTTTGAATGGTCATCAAAGTATCTTTTGGTAGGGCGTTCCCCTAAAGTACATTGTGATTATATTTGCCGAGCAAGAGCATCTGACCTTCTGCTTACCTCTCCATTCCAGGCCCGCTTGTCAGCGCTTTGACCAATCAGTTCGATTTTCGACCTGTTGCAATGGCCGGTGCGGTGTTGTCAACAGTTGCTTTTCTCATCAGTGCATTTGCCAACAGCATCGACTTGCTGATTGGTGGATTCGGTATTCTCGGTGGTAGGTTTTGGCTGCGTACTAGAGCAAGTCTATGTCATTTTAATAATGGTGGTATCCGATGGCTGCCCTTGGTTAATAGAGCTCGCTGTTCATCAAGTATTCCTTCATGTCCTTTGGTCACTGGGTTATGCATCCGAAATTGATGTCCGTGTTTCCATCTCAGTTCGGAATGCTACCTCATGGGTTGGTTTTGGTGATTTAGTTTCCAAACCAACACCCTTTTGTTAAGGAAGACATTTTGTGGCACCATCCTCATTTCTTTCGCAACCCTTCTGATTTTGTAAACTAACCCGTTTGCCTCCCAAAAAGTTCCCAATGGAAATCTGCTTCGCAGTTGACCTAGAATTAAAAATCGACGCCAAAACGGATTATGGCGTCTATACATTTCCCACGCGGTCCTACCGAATCAGAAAGCTCTTTTAGGTTACAGTTATTTAGCGTGCTACGTAGTTTAGCATACTGGTTTTTCGTAACACCTCACGGTTTAAGATAACGAGGAAACATTGCACTGCAACTCATTATTGCCTTGGTTACTTATTTCCTTTTTGAAGGACCACCTCTCCCAAGGTAGTGCTTTTGGAGGGGTCCATGAATTTAGTTTCAACGGTCAAGTCCCTTCCAGAGGAAGCCACTTCTCAAAAGAGACCTATTTGGTCCTTGAAGTTTCTCCAAAATGGAATAGCTGTAGCTGTAATTGTTTTGTACTTTGGGATACCGTTTTGGCGTTCACCTTCGAGTCCTAATGGCGACAAAAGCCTACATCCATTACGTAGATTTATGTTGGTGCACTAGTAACGGTTTAAGGGCACTGATTGTTTACAGCATTCACTCCGGTCAAAGTTATATCACACTCTGAGGCAATCCTATTCGCTAAAGTCGCTCGCAGTTATCTTTCATCCAGTATCCAGATGTGCCTACCGGGTCGACTGTCTGGGAACTCAGAGCCCGATATTGCTGGATGTGATGGGGTTGCTGTTATTATTTGTAATTGAGCTGACCATATGTCTGTTAGCAACTGTCTCTGAGTTTTCATTTGCCAACCTCATTGGAATTTGTGGCAAACGAGAGGCTTTTTTCATTATTGCCTCTTACGCCCTGCAGCCCAATGATAGCCTTAATCTGGTCTGTCTTGATGGCTTGAATATCTTGTTATGGTGCGGTGTTATGTCGTATACTATACGTGAAGATTTAGCCTGTTGAAGCTTGACTACGTGGTTAGATGGATATGCACAGCAATGATGAATGTCTGCTACAGCTATATACCTACCGCAGTCTGCTGTCCCCTGGACGGTCGAAGTTATCTATCCACATGGTGATAGTCAGCCTCGCACCCGGATCGACCACTGGCTATCCCTACTTTTGGACCACTTTGTGAATTTCCATTGTGTATTGCTTTTGTAACTGCCTTTAGAAATGTGCCCCAAAGCGCACCCAAAGTTGAATTTAATTCATCGAAACGATTCCCCCTGATAAGGTGAATTCGGACTACATAAATGCTGTCACAGTTAAATTACTGATTAAAATCGTTCCTGCAATTGTGTGTGTGTGTGTGTGCGTGCGGAGGGGGAGTGAAGGAAGGCTTGTGTGATCTAACCAACAGCGCCTTTACATTTCTGTTTTGGCCGCCGCTGGGTATCACGGCACACGATAGTAGACGGTGTAGTGAAGCAGTACCAGTTCACCATTATAAACATCCGGTGGTTCTTACGGTATGTTTACTAGTCTTTCGCAAGCCACTGAATGCGTACGCACTACAACCAAATCGCCCTTATGAACCCGCGCACATTCGGTGTGAACACTGCTGGATGCTAATTTGTCATGTTTGTGTAATGATGAATCAACTCCTTCCACTGACGAGGAATTAGTAAGGCACACAAAACAAGCTTACCCTGACTACTGGCTTTCTTGCAGACCATGATATTTAAGCGTCTTCTGCTAAACATTCACGCGGTGTTTCGCCTACTACTTATCCCGATTGCATTATGATAATAAACCAATCGTCCAGCTGTAACACCCAGTATGTCATCAGAAGGAAGCTCGAGGGCTGGGATACTGTCAGGTTTCTCAAGCCTAGCAGTGGAGATGCGGTGGGTGGATTCGAACCATGAACTTTCCGGTCAGGAATTTCGTGCTGTAATCACCGAACCATCTCGAACTCTTTGGATTATGGGGGCCTATTGGAAGTTACCATATTCATATATTAAAACGATGCTTCCCAATGGGTCCAAATTTCTCTGCCGAACTTCCTCAAGCTTTTATCGATGTAAGCTTCGTTCTGATGTGCACCAGAGCGTAAAACGGGTGCCTGGACGTGAATTTCAGTGGCGGGCTTCCTACATTTTCGTTCCCATCTCACCAGTGCTCACTTAGGAGCTTTTTAATTCCTTCGGTGCCTTAATCTATCGTTCGATTAATAACCCAGATGAGTATTTCTCCAGCTATGAATAGAAGATGGCGTAAGTCACTAGACTGTCACTCACTATCCCATTAATGTGGCAGTAAAAATGTCTTTTAAGACCGGAATCTGTCACTCGCAGCAACTAATCGCGTTCGACGTCTGGTTGTCTCTCTTGCGTAGGATTTTCACAAATGTGTGCACTGTTTTACGTTAACCTCTGCACAATATGAAGACTGTAGCTTTATCCTGTCCAGTGAATGGCTATCTCCCTCTAGGCTGAATAATACTAATAACAATGTTGGTTTTTCAAGCTCATCTTGTGGGAGATATAAAACCATTTGTTTGTGTCAGTGGGATTCGATGATGCACACGAGCCTGATTGCTGAAAACAACTTGAAACTATGCATGGCTGTTCACCGATAATCGTGTGTCTAACGTTTTTCATTATCGTTTTCGTCATGATCATCATTGACAGAAACACCAATTTGAGAACACCGGTGTCAATTGCCGTAACATATCATCACGCGGTGGCTGCTATAAAGTGTGGTTATTCATGGTCGTGGAATTCATGGTTGAACATGGGCCCAGATATTTCCTAGGAGCCCATCCGTGCACAATAGATCCTCAACTAGAAGTGTTGCTGTGAGGCAGCGTTTGTCCTTTTGAGACCGCCATAGTTCAAATTTTAAGATACAGGTCGCTACACGCGTCCCAACCGATGACCTAGAGACTCCTATCCGTCGATCAACGTGGTATAAAAGAGACATTGCAACTTTTACATAGTCAAAGTTCACTAATCGTTCTCGGAGTGTCATTTCCGTTTTCGGTTTATGCACTCCGTCACAAAATTTTCCCAAAATCGAAACGGGGTTGGTTTTTACTAGTTGCCGGGAGTTTTTTTACTGTTCATAAGAAGATCCAACACGACTTAACGTCTTGGAACAAGAAAAAAGGAATATGTCGACAAACGTCGACGGCATTTCTCTGTATCGAAGCAGCCTAATCCACAAGGTCAAAGAATTCGATGAAAATAGCGATTATCGGTTGTTGCTCTGTATGGCCTTGCTCAAGCATGTGACGCAGTGAACAGATGTAATCAGTGCACGCCCACCTGGTGCCCCAATTCGCGTCCGGCGTTCCGGAGTTGGGCGTGGCGCTATCAGGGAGGTCAGTAACCATGTTATAACCGGTGCCAGTTTTACGCCACTGGTTGAGGCGTTTACTTCGGATGAATTTTTTTTTTAATAAAGGCAGATGACTGGCCTCACTCTCTTGCAGCTCGGCTTGTTTCTGTGTAAGTTCAAACGATTTGGTGAAAACGGAAGATGGGCTCACTTCCGTGTTTGAGATGGCTCAAGGGCCAGGTAGCTCAGTGGTTAGAGCGCGAATTTACTGACCGGAAGGCCTGTGTTTGGAACCTGACCTCTACCTCTCGACTTCTCCTGTCTAGGTTTGGGCAACCTGGCAGTATCCCAGCCCTCGTGCTTCCTTCTGATGGCATGGCATCCAGGCACCGGGAAGGTGTTAAAGCTGAACGATTCATTTTCATAAAGGAAACTGCTCACAAGGTTGCTGAAAACTCTTCGACAGCCCACGACCGGTTTCGCCCTTCTTGGGGCTCATCAGGTAGGCGCTGTCCCCGAGTTTCCATCAACCTTATGATCTACTTGAACTGGACTACGGCTACCTGATGAGCCCCAAGAAGGGCGAAACCGGTCGTGGGCTGTCCAAGAGTTCAGCAACCTTGTGAGTAGTTTCCCCTGTGCACATATATACTGCGATATCTCGAATATCGTGCCAACCGAATCATAAGGCGGCCTGTGTGCAGCACATTCAGTTGGAGGACATCATAAACGGGAGATTCAGTTGAGTCTCCCGTGAAAACCAAATTGATTTGCAAATGAGTATATTTCTCGAGAACGATTTATTTGTTTATTTTACCGTCTTTGAATATTGGAGGTTGAATTTTATCGGACCCTACGGTCCGGTGGTGTTTCAAGACAGAAAGACCCAACATTCTATAAACCAACAGGTCATTTAGGCTGACAGACCAATGCATGTAGGCGGGTCGCGTGGAAGATATGATTACAGAAGCAGATGGCCGGCAGAATTACTGTTGAAACTATTCTACTCGTTGGTCAAGACGCTAGTGTTTGATTATCTCACTAACAGATGATCTCTTGGCACTGTTTTGCGCAGTAGCTAAAGCAGTTTTCCCGCACTCACGACTGCACTGATCTCTATCATTTTTGGATCTGCGGTTGCACTACGTTTCTTCCCCACGCAAGCTCACGCCTAACTTGCCCGAGTCCGATGAGGTGCAGAACTTTGTATCTAGGCTTGGCCGTGACAATTTTCTGATCCATAGGGATTCCTACGTGCTCGAAACAGCGTTTCCAGCGTCACATACTACTGGTTGTCTTATCCCAGTTGTTACCAGTGATAAGCCCAATGGTACACCGTTGTACAGAAAGCTTTCGTACGCCTTCCTAACTTGTGGCTCATGTTGCTGCTCTACCGCTAGTTGGAGAGCTAGTTCTTCAGGCGAATAGGGAGATTTGAGTGAAACATCGGTTGGCTCAGCTTGTGTATTGAAGAATGA